TTAGAAGATAATAATAAAAATATTCAAAAGTTTCCTAGCAAAAGAGAGATAAAAGAGTTCGTTGACCTCATAGACAGTAAGCCTAAGCAAGTAGAACTTAGATCATTAGAAGTAGTTGAGCAGTTAAAATTAGAAGTCCAAAAAATTCAATTAGTGCAAAAAGAGTTAAGTGAACAAGTAGCTAAGTTGCATAAAAAAAATAGATAAATTATTAGTTTAATGACCAATTCTAGAACTAGCAGAAAATATATCCAAGTTTTGAAAGAAATTAGTAAGCTAGACAAAGAACCAGTAGGTTTAACAGATTTTTCAACACAAGTAACCAATAGTAATATTCTCATTAGGCAAAATAATTTAATTATTCAATTAGTTTTAAGTTTGGCTGAAAAATTAGATCAAGTTGAAGAACAAATAGCAGAAATAAACCAAATTTTACATAACGCATCTCCATCACTTCCACCATATTTGATAGATAAATTAGAAAATTTAACCTTAAGTGCAAATAATAAAAGAAGACCTAAGCTAAATCCTTTTGATACTAGAAAATGGAACTCTTTAGGAAAAAGGAAAAAGGAAAAAGGAAAAAGGAAAAAGAAGTAGTTAGAGCCGAAGATATTTATCCAAATGAAGAAGAAGCACAAAAATTTATTCGAAGAGGTTTTGAGAGAATACAAAAAAACAAATATAATTTGTATCAATTAGGTTTATTTGAAAACAGAAGTAATATTGTAAGTCGCATCAGTCAATATGAAGTTAGCTGTATCGATAAAGAAGTTACACTTAATTTAATTAGTAAAGAATTAGTTACCCATTTGAGAAAATCACAATTTTGTCAAATTCATATAGGAACAATATTAATTGGAATAGCAGGATTGACCAGAGCACAAATAGGCGCAAAAGCTTTAGTATACATATATGATGATAAATGGGATAATCACCACAATTAGGTTTAGTAATTACAAGCAACTAGAAAAAATGGAAGAGGATGAAAGCGAGATCGAAAATGAGAGTATCCATATGGCTTTTGATAATTTAGATATTAATTTAGTTGAGAAAATTTTTGATCATATTGTAGATAAGTTCATAGAAGATATTGACCATTTAGATGAAGAACAATACTTAGAAAAATATAAGACATATGATTTAGGACTACATATAATTTCAAATGAAGAGATGAAAATTTTAATTTTAGAAATAGGAGTAGAACATATTTTAGGACCAAAATAATATAATAATTTATTAGAATTGAGAGCAGAATTCAAAGTAAAATGTAATCCACCAGAAGAAAGTAGTACATTAGGAGTAGAAAATCCAAATCCAAGACACGGAAGCAAAACTGATCAACAATTTTTGAGACCAACAAATGAACATTATAATGAAGGAGCACAAGTAGACCGCATAGAAGAAAGCATGATAAAACCTAGAAAAAATACAATTCCATATTTGAGAGGTTTAGAACAAATTAATATAGTAGGTAATATATTAACAATAAGCAAATGGTCCCTAAAAACAAAAGACATCACTAAGAGTGCATCTCGATTACCTTCTTTCAGGACGTTTAAAATTGAATATCATATGTGTTTTATTTAGGCTTTTTAGCTAAAATGGTCTCTAAAATTTGCATAACACATCACTTTGATTATTGAGATTTGAAATCAATAGAAGTGGTCCTTGAAATTGTCCACCATTAATCATGTTAGTCCTTCTGTGCAAAATTATGTTAATAAGGACCAAAATGACAAATATACCCTCAATTTAATAAATAATAGGCCAAAATGATTTGACAAAAAATAAGGGTATTTTGGTCACTTTATTCTTATTTAATGGAGATTTCTCACATAATAACCAAAATGATTGATGGTGGACAAACTCAAGGACCAATTCTATTGATTTCAAATCTCGGGGATCAAAGTGAGAAGTTATGCAAACCTTAAGAACTAATTCTATTGATTTCAAATCTTAGAGATCAAAATGAGGAGTTATGCAAATCTCAAGGACCATTTTAGATAAAAAAAACCTGTTATTTATAAGAGTTAATCTCAGTTTACTATCCTCAAGTTTATTGGCTTTCAACATTTGGTATATCAAATTTTTTTCATCTCAGGTGGTGCCTAAAGTCAAAATTTTGGAACAGTTTCATACTTTTGTTAATGTTGCTGTTAAGTCAACTGTTAAGTGATTACGTGATGTTCAGATGGACAATAATTGAACGCCACATGTCAATACGGACCCACATGAACATTAACAAATTGAAAAAATTAAAAAAATAAACCTAAACATTTCTCTCCCCATTTCTTCTTCGACTCCCCCTTTCTCTCTCCCCTATATCGCCACAACCACCACCTCCTCCACCATTCCTCACCTAAGCCCCACCCTCCTTTTTATCTTGCACCCCAACCCAGGCCTAAACACGGATATATACGAACTACCACGGAATCCAGTCGCGCAGAGATCAATTGAAGATTCGGGATTTTTTTTTTTTTGTAGTTTTTGGGTTTGAATACTCGAGAACTATCACCTAAATTGCTCACTCTTAATTATCTTCTGCGGATCAACGAGAGCGAGCTTGAGATCGAAGGGTCGAAGATCCGACGTGAATCGCTGGCGTTGCACTGTACCAGGTCGTGAACACGAATGTGAGGGAAGAAAATGTGGTGTTCGGGTCCACGGAATGGGTCGTGGTCGACGACGGGATCTGGTTCGAGGTGTATCTGAGGAAGGAGAAGGTGTTGAAGGGAATTTTCATGAAGGACGAGGGGCAAGACGAAATTGGAACGTAAGTGCGTGCAGGAAGATGAGAGTGTCGCGCGAAGGTCACAGAGCCTGAGGTTTGCGTGGCCATGGTGGGTTTGGGTCTGGGTCTGGATTGGGGTGTAGGATAAGGAGGAGGGTGGGGGTTAGGAAAGGAGTGGTGAAGGAGGTGGTGGTTGTGGAGAGAGAGGGAAAGAGAAAGGGGGAGTCGAAGAAGAAAGTGGGAATGAAATTTTTAGGTTTATTTTTTAAATTTTTTAATTTTTTTTTAATGTTCATGTGGGTTCATATTGACATGCGATGTCTAGTCAATATCCACCTAGCGTCACGTCATCACTTAACAGTTGACTTAACAGCAACGTTAACGGAAGTATAAAATTGTCCTAAAATTTTGACTTTAGATACCATTTTAGGATGAAAAAAATTTAATATACCAAATATTGAAAATTAAAAAACTTAAGCGTAGTAAAATGAGATTAACCATGTTTATAAAACTATATATATACATATATATTTGTTAAACTTTTATATTTTGTGTTAACTTTGAGACAAATAACATAAATGTCTTTGGCTGCGAATACTGTTAGATGAAGAGCATGCAAACGACAAAATTTTATATGATTCTAAGCAGGTCAAGGAGCTGTAACGCAACTGCACAAATACAAGGTTTCTTTTTGTCCATTCTAACTGTCCTATAAACACAGAAAGCTCATTCTCATCTTCCCATTCTTTTCATTCTCGTCTCCCCTTCCCTTCACCAATCCCCATTTCCCACCCACCTTTTCTTTCTTTATAATTTTAAAAGGCCAAATTAGATAAATGGTCTATATGGTGGTAAGAGATTCAGAAGATAACTCTTGTGGTAAAATAATTCAGATTTAAACATTGTGGTAGAATACGTCAGAAAATTTAGTTCAAAAATAATTTTTCGTTAAATGTCCATTAATTGCATGAATAAAATTGTAATTTGACGTGGTGTTGTGAAAAGCAAAAGACTCATATGTCAATCCACGTAGGATTGACATATCAGTTGGAGTTTCTTTCTACCTTCAATTTGATCATGACATTTCACTTAGAATTTGGCACACCCTTTGAAGATAGTCTAAGGTGCAATTTTTCGTTGTCATGAGCCTATTTAGACCTTTTGTTATAAGTTATCATGCACAACTTACACCAAAAGCCCCAATGAGCCTAGAAACTCAAAACTAACTTTAAGGCCCATTTCAGCATTATATGCTCTTGTAATTTTTTGAATAACATCCTTAACTAAGCTAAGGATCTAATTAACCCAAATTAATTAACTTACCATCTATGTTGATTTTTTCAAACTTAAGCTTATGAGCTTTTGATCCATTAGGTTCTAATTTAGTGAGGTTTTAAGCAATTAGAACTATGACTAATCGATGATTAATTTAAAATCGTTTCCAATTCTATGAGAACTTGTTACGGTTAATTTTCACGGCTCCCACAAACTGAGAGTGACTCCTTGTAGTTTATCATTGTTATCTAAGCTAGGAAGAATGGTAGAGAACATATTTAGTTAGAACAACAATGCAATACAATCTCTCACTAATTCATTATGCTTAACCGCATTACCAGTGCACTAAATCTGTGTTGATCCCTTAATGTGAATTCTCAAGTACATATGGTTCACATGAATATGATAGAAACTCTTAATCATATTCAAACACTTTAACCGACGATTCCTAAATTATATCTTAGAGCACATCGCCCTCTTTACAAAAGGTAGAAATTCCTTGTACATTCTCATTCCTTGTTGGTTGAGCTTTTACGTGGGCGTGTATGGCTCTTTTCCATTCACTACAGTTTCTCATATATTCTTATCCGAGCACGGTTTTTCTTTAAGCCACTCGTTCATACATTTATATACTCTTGTCCAAAAATTTCTACATATTTCATGTTGATAACATGTTGTAAAAGAAGCACAATACGAGTGCCTGTGACTCCGAGGTGGGATTTAATGTGAGAATAGGCATAATACCTTTCATAACATTCAATTCCATGGAGCAAAACTCAAAGATTGTTGCTACCCAACACAATACAAAGGAAAAGTGCAGCAGCAGAAATAAAAGGAGGGGAAACTATACCTACTGCAACTACCTTCCATATTTACAAGACCATTTTTGTGCTATACACTGCAACCGTCTAACGTTACGAAGTCACCACATGTTATGAGGCGATCCTGGAATTTGCGAGCGTTTTGTAAAACTATATATATAACGAAAGGATGAAACTCCTCAAAAAGCCACGACACGATCTATTTATCAGAATTCTTCACTTCGTAATATATTCATTTATTAGAAAAGCTAACACAATGGTTCTAAAAACAACGTGGAAAAATGAAGCAAACATACACCTCTGTTATCCAAATTTGAAAAATTTGAAAAATGAAGCAAACATACACCTCTATTTTGCGCTCTTTGACGCGTCACCAAACACCTCAGTGTAACACATTGGGCAAGCCTGATGAAAGAAATACTGTCAGGTAAATTGAGTCGCTGCTAAAACAAATCCAACAGATTCTAAAAACCAATATATTCATCTTTAAAAATAATAAAAAAAAAAAAAAATTACTTGCCTTGTTGATGCTTAGCCATCTGGTCCCACAACCAGCATGATAGAGGTGTTTGCACGGTAGAGCAATCCGCCGGTCCCCTCGTTTATATTCCATCTGGCAAATCACACATCTACGTGCAACAAGGGGCTACAAGTTAATATGACTGCAAAAAGTATACACAGAAAGCTGCTTATAGGAGATACGGATATTACAATATAAAACTGTTGTCTTGTTTCAGAGGAGCTACAAGTCCACACCAAATTAAATTATTTTCTGGTGCAACTAAAGTGCACATGGGATGAAAGGCCTGTCGGCAGTAAGCACAGAAAGATCCCGAGCACTTTTAATAGGGAATGGGAATTAAATTGAAAAGTATACTCACCAATATGCATATTCACCGATTTGAAACCATTAAATTTACCAGATTCAATCCTAAGATTCTTACCCAATATTGCTTCTCTGTATATTTTCCGAAGAAAACTACAAGTTGCATAAGACTCAAGTAGGTCACTGAAGTATGCAGCTGAAGATCAAGTCCTTACTTTTACGCTCCACAGTGCCAATATATGAAAAACCTAAAGTCATGTCCACTTTAATTCAATATCCTAACGTAAAAATGATCCCAACATTTTATAGCCTTGTGCAGAAAGAACCATTCGAGACTCAAATTAATCATACAACCTATGATACCTACCTTCACTCCCCAAGAAATCAGCGTTCTATATCTTCTCTACAGACCACCATACTAATGAAAACAACAAAAACAAGTTCCTTTTCTATTCTTGAGATTTGAGCAAGGAAAAAAGTTGTTCTTGCAAAAATTAGTAGATGTTAAACTTCCCATTTCTATATTTAACCAAGAGAGATTCCGTTAAACAGGAATTCGGAGAGAGAGAGAACAATAAATAAGGGCAATCTATACCTCTCGTCTCATGATTTCTTTAGAGAGAGAGTAATCACATTTTTTTCAAAAGAACAATAAATAAGGGCAATCTATACCTCTCGCCTCGTGATTTCTTTCTCAAGAAAAAGCTGCATTTGTACTTTGAGATTGGAAGCAAGGAGATCTGATCTTGGGAGAGACCTCGACTTTGAGTTCCAACTGCCTCACCTAACTCAAGTAATTCCTGAACGTAAAGAACATTGTCAGTAACATTTATTCCAAATAAAAGGTTTTTAGTGAGTAGCAGATGTTCCCATACAACACAAGACATTACAGGCATACAACTATAAAACTACCCTCACAACTCGAGAACCCTGTTCTGCTTTAGAGATTCACTCACTAACTCTCATACAGTAGGGTCCCCACCATGAAGACAATTCTGATGACACTAACCAGGAGTATGATATGCTTAATAAACTTCTATTCCAGTGGGTTCAAATAATTGAGCAATCCAACTTAAAAGAATTGAATTCAAAATCAGTCTATACACGTGAGTGCTTTAAAAGTAAATTCCACCAGTTTGACACAACTTTGTGTGAGAAGGGGAGCACTTAAAAAATAATACGAGGCCAGTCATCCTATAATTACAACAATGCACTTAAATCAACGACAACAAAATTCGAATTCTACAATATGTGCAGTGCTACACTGAAACTTGTGCATTTGAGAGATAGAAAAGTAAAGAATCAGAGACTAAGAAATTTGCAAGAATCTCCTCATTAAGAACAGAAATTACAGAAGGAGTCGTGCAATGATTGTTTAGCACACAAGCACTCCTCCAAACAATGAAGTAAATCTGTACCATAAAGAAAATGTACAGAATAACACAATTTAAATTTCCAAGGTGGGTGGTAGATGGAATTTATTCCTGTATAAACCATGGCTAGTGTATCCATTTGTTACAATAAAATCTGAATAATACCTAATCCAGATAAATGTTAAACAGCAAATCAACAGATAAGACAGATTACTTGAAATTATAATATAATTGTATTATCCAAATTCTAAGGAGGATAAAGTGCAGTTAGCTCTAACCTCGTAACTCATGCTGTCAGGATCAATGTTGTCTTGCCAAATAACCTGCATATTTCACAGAAAATGCTCCAACTTAGTAATCTATTGAGCTCATTTTGTTTCACATAAAAGTTTGAATATGATAATGATGTAGAGTAAAAATTTCCCGGTAAGTGGTTTTTGAAATCACTGGAACCAGGAATAAGCCTGCCAAAGCTGTGGTTTTACTTCCATTCATGTTAAGCCAATCTACTGAGCCCCAATTTAGGTGCCCGTGTGCACATTTGTTGCACATATGCATATATGAATGCATTCACAGTTATATGTATACATACATTTAGAGAAAGACCCAGAATATGAAGAAACTAAATACCTGACGATCATGGGAATTTTGATGTCTCCGTGGGCCTGAAATGTAAATGATGATACTTAGATTGATAGAAAATATTCAAGTCTCAAGTATAAAGAAGTGACTCAGAACAGACCAAATGACATTGGAAGCAAAGAGTATAGAAATGGAGGAGCCAATAGCAGCCACACCATCAACTTCAGTCAGAAACATGTTTATAATATGCAGTCCTTAAACATAAGTTTATAATAAACAGTCACGGGGGTCCTACTGGACTGCTACCTTTAGGCAACAATATGAAAAATGACAAACTTTATAACAATAAAACACCTAATTCTTATCTTCTTCTTCCCTAGAGGTAGAATGTATTTCATCCAACTCTATAAGTTTCACTAAGAATACTTATTCTCTATGTCACCAGTCCCTCCAGGCCCTGTAATGTTCTAATCCACAACTTAGGAAAAAATAATAATAATAGAGAATGCTAATTATTTTACCGGTCTTCAGGGCCTCTCACATAGGACCACAAAAGAGAAAACCGCAGAGCATAATCGTGAAGCCCTCCAGCCTCCTTGCCCATCCCAAGAAAAGAAAGAAGAAAAGCAACGCTAATAACTTACATTCTATGGGGTTGTTGGGTGTAGAAGTATTTGCATTTCCTTCCCATTCTGAGTTCACTGCCACATTCTGTTCATTAGTCATCGTTGAAGCACTCTGCAAATGCCTTCTTTGTTCACCACTTCTTGGGTCAGGACCATTGATCTCATAAGCATGACCAAACCCAAGATCATAGGATGAAGTATTCCCAGGTTCCGATAACCCAAACTTGTAATAATTTGTATTCATTGTTGGGTAAGCACTCTCCTACACATGTGAGAAGGAAATTGCAATTGAAAGAAATTGAAATAGATGAAATACAGATAAACATTCCAAGGTTCAAAATTTGCATTAATAATGGGGAACATCAAACAACAACTCGCTACTTATGTCTTAAAGCAATCCTATCATGGGAAACCATATAAACTCCTTTTCAATGAAGTACAGCAATCCTACAGATCTAAATTTTGGAAACATAATAATTAAAGACTAACTAAACAAATCACGGTGGTGGAAAAAGAAAATCTTTGTGCAGATATTTAAGGTAAAGTACCTGAGCATGCAAATCGCCTGAAAAAATAAAGTTCACATGTTCATAGGTAAGACCCTCAAAATACTCCATAAAGCTACCCGCTGAGCTATAAGGACAGCTGGTGTAGGTGTAATGAACTTCCATGTTTGGGTCCCAACTCATTTTTAAAAACCGCAAGACAGACGAGCAATCTAAAGGGCACAAAGAGAATACAAGAAATGAATATTTTACAACGATGAATAGACGATAAGGTTCACAAATAAAACGAATCAGGAGAGATGTAAACCTGATCTTTCGACAAATTCCAGCACCCAATATCATATAAAATAAATTCAGACAGGCAAGCGAAAAATGCTATCAGTTTCGCACTTACAGAAATACCTGCAAATCACAACGAACAATCAAAAACTCATCCCAGAAGAAAAATCAAGAGTAGCGAATCAACAGCCGGAGAACATAAATCCAGAGTTTAAGAATGCAAGATGGTTGAAACAATGAAATCGAAGCTGTTCCAAATTCATATAGTTTCCGGTATCTTCATATTTCAACCGGCATTGGTAGATCTAAGCAGATTTGTGAAATTATTAATCTCCATTACATCTGTCTCTGGGAAGGATTAAACTCGATTAGTTACTAGAAATTTATTACTAAAAATGAATGGAGATAACAGTTTACTTAATTAGGAAGCTTCCACGGTCATTTGCGCCGAAATTTTCCTTCTGGTAACTCTCTAATGGAACAGTTTTTCGTTCAGACAGACACAAAACAAATGGATTAAAAGGAAACGAATCGCTACCGAAAACCAGGCATCATTATGACCACAACTAAATGTAAACTGCCGATTCCAACCAGACTGTTTTAATTTACAGATTAGCTAGAAAGAGATTCATCATTCCGAAACAGTAACAAGTTTAGATATGAAATCACTAATAATTTGATCCAAAACACCAAAAATTAGAAATAATAATATCATAGCATTTCCTGTACTTTTCCTATCAACTTTCCCGGCAACCAAACGCAAAAGGAATCCCGCCAAATCTACCTAATCAGACGGCATTGATCTCAAAGAGCTCTCCAATCACACCAAATCAAGAAAAAACCAAACACCGGACAGCAGAGAAAATCCGAGAAAACGCGACGGAAAATGAGATTAGAATGCATCAACGGATCAGAGCAAGCTAACCAAAACGAAATAAATAAATAAAACCGAAAGAGATTGAGATTCTCAAGGGATCAAAGAACCGACATTGCTGGTTTTTCTCCTCAGAAGCGCTTCGTCTCCAGCTTCTGCTTCTGCTTCTGCTTCTGCTTGAAGGAAATGGCTTTCCTGCTTTGCTCTGTGCCTCTCTCTCTCTAGGTTCAGGGAGGGCGATGGTGCTGTACTTAGTAAGGGTGAGGAGGAGAGAGAGAATCCCGCGTGACTGCCGTGGCTTTATCTAGTGGTTTCAGTGACACGCGATGTCCGTTTGTTGAGAGGAGATTGGGATCTGCTGTCGCGCGGCATATGCCAACACAATCATCTCTCTCTGCTACTGCTTTAACCGTTGCCTTTATTCTTTGTCCATTGCTCGGCTCCGCCCCCACTTCTTTGTAATTATTTTCTTTTAAAATTAATCGGTACACGTTTCACATTTACTCGAGTGGACTAGTTTATATTATGAATTTGGGTTCGAATTTTCTCTCTAGCTAATATTTTGGATTAGTGGTTTTTATAAATTCGGGTCTGAATTTTCTCTCTCGATAATAATTCGAATCAGTGATTTAATTGTATTTTTCTGGTTGAGATAATACAACCAAAGTTTAACAATCAATACTTCAACTCTTTTTTCTCTCTCATCTATGTCAACAATATGAAAATAAATAAAAAAATATCTCACACATGGTCCTTCTTTCCAAGCAAATTTAAGTCTACACTCTAGTTGAATTTGTCTCATGAAAAAAATACAAACTACTTACGAGCTTTATGAACTAAAGAAACTAATGTTCAAGCTTGACTTGTTTCTTAATCAAGCCAAACTAAGCTTGCCTTATTTCTTTAACGAGCCAAATCCAATATAAGTTCGAGCTGTTTCATACTAATTTATAGCCCTAGGCTAAACTTATCATTTTATATATATGGTTTGCATATGCATTAACAACTTACACAATTGCGTAAACATGATAAAACATGTAATTTCAAGTTAGGCGGATTTATTCAAAGCATGAACTGCTTAATAACCGTGAATTCATAGCAAATGGATCGACATGATTATTATTGACATGAACCCGTTGTATTTTCCGAATCGATTTATTGTATCATGTCTAAAAATGCCACCTTTAAATCACATGAATACAAATTTACAACTTGACTCTATTCTTAGTTTCTTCTTTGATGTGAATGCGTTGGGATTCAATCATTCAATAGCCATGATATCGTACTTAAAGTAAATAAATAAGAATTAAAAAACGAGAGGCGAAACATTTGATCACCGAACTCGTGAAGTTTGAAGCGTGGGCTCCACAGAAGTCGAACCAAATGATCCAAATCCAAGGTTCTGGTTGGGATTGCAATGAGTGGTTGGCTTGCCAAATTTGCCATTACAAAAATGGGACCTTTAAGGTTGGCTTGCCAAATTTGCCATTACAAAAATGGGACCTTTAATTTGGTTGAAGATAGATCACCAAAACCATCTGACTCCCAACCCCCCGAAAGGAAGTTGGTGTCAGTCGAGGTTCGTTATGACTCAACTTGTTGTATTCCTAAGTTCGACTTTTGCAAATTACGAGTTTGATAAGAGTTTGTCTTGATTAACTATTTGTGTAGCTTGATTCAAAAATATTTATTTTTTGCACGAATGTTTTATTTATATTAAGGAAGAGGTGTGGGCTTAGTCTCACGATGGGTTAACAATAATGCGGTTTAAATTCGCCTTTAACGATAATCAAACATAAAACTTTTCACTTACAAGTGAAAGAGAATTATCACTAAATCATAATCGAAAATATTTACTTGTTACTTTCTTGTGAGGGAGGATCCTTGTCGGATCCTCTTTGTGAGGATCTCGGGAATCCTCTAATTACATGTGTTCATCGTATATCGTGTGACCAATTTTTGTCAGGTATTGTTTATATTCAATTTTAAATAAAAAAATTATAATAATTTATGACTGCACGATGTATGATGAATGGATGTGATTAGAAGATCTCCATGATTCTTAGAAAGAGAATCTAGCAAGAATTCTCTTAGCTTTTTTTTACCAAAAAAAGAATTCTCCTAGCATACTTGTGACTAAAAACTCATGGATGATGTTATTACCAAAAAAAAAGAACTCATAGATGATGTGAAAGGAGTGAGGGGGGCCACTACATGTTTTGAAGTTAATATTGGTGGGGTGGTTGGTTCCCTTTTGACACCTGATTCAACAAATAAACTATACTATAAATGGAGCAATGCAAAAGTTTGTGATGATTGTTTGTTGCCACTAAGGAACTTGTACTTGACTTTTCTCGGCTGTGGCTGCGATGCAATTTTCAACCCTTATTTTTCATTTTTTTTGGTTGAAATATGTATGAAATTACTTCAATTTCACCACCTATATACCATTTTGGTTCAAGTTTTCCAAACTCTAGCATAATCCTTTGGGCATCTTACAAACTCAAATACTTTGTCGTGTAAAAGGGCAAACATATTACATTCGTATTAGAACAATAGAATAAAGTTCAAACATATGTATTTATTAGGTCGAACAAGGGGTTGAACATCAAGGCATTATGGTCAAAAACAAGATCTTTTTAGACAAACGTTTGACCCAATAAATCAATTCGTCACATAATAATATTAAGTAGCTGTAAGTACTGTAGCTAGATCGCAAGATTTGTGTTGCTTCTCCCAAATGGGAGAGAAAGGATTACTGTTCCACTGTAGTTGTGGTCTCTCTGTCCAATTAATCGTTTTTAGCTTTTGGTCTGCCATGAGAGACAAAGGCTGGGAGCTGGCAGGCATAGGGACGGAATCAAACCTGGCGTGCAAGACAAGTCAAGGACAAGTAATCACATATATTCTTTATTCTTTTTGTCTGCCTACGTTTGGCAACCAAAGCAAAGTTGGCTCTTCCACTTGTGTCCCAATTGGACCGTGGAGAAATTTATCAGTGTGCCCGGAATACAAGCATATACATCACACTTCATTACATATGTGGAGGGATATTTGGAAAAAAAAAAAAAAAGAAATTTCCTCCACTTGTATAATAACATATAGCGTACCGTCTTTTGTTCCAAACATAATGAAATCTATTTTGGATTGGTGTTCCAAATATTTGCTTCTTTCCCTTATTAACCCTATTATCACCAAAATAAAGCTTAAACATTTAACAGTAGAAGCTTGCAACAACTCTTACAACCAGGATAATGCGAACAAAACTCCCGGAACATGATTAAATAGTGTCTAGGAGACGAAATCCTCTAAACTAGGTTATTGAGTGAGAATCCCATTAGTTCCAAATCAATATCTGTAGCGAAATGGGGGTGGAGTTGTAGGTTCATATGAACTTAAGCTCCACCAGAACCATACTTCTTTCCGAACACGATCTCCTGAAGCTTGTCGTAACCTGCAAGCACCCCGGCACCAGCAACTGCACGAAGAATGTTGGCACCGGCACCCTTGAAGAGAGACTTCGCACCCTCGTTCTTAAGGATTTGAGAGAAAGCGTCAAGCGAGCTCTTGTACTTGACGGCTTCACCGGATGTCATCATCATCCTTCTACGGACAGTGTCAATTGGGTAAGATGCAAGTCCGGCGCCGTTGGTTATAACCCAACCAAGACCAAAGCTAGCAAAGAAACTATCCTGAAATTTCCCAAAAAAAAAAAAAAAAACGAAAAAAATGTGAGATAATCCCCATAAGTTTGTGTATATGGACAGTGGAAATATGACTTGGTACACAAGCAATCCACTTACCTGCAACTTTCCAGTGAGGATCACAGGCTTCAAAGAATCATACATTCCAAAGTACAGACCACGGTACACAATGATTCCAACACAAGAAATGTTGAAGCCGCGGTAAAGGCCAGCAACACCATCTGACTTGAGAGTCTTTTTGTAGACATCAACCAGGCCATTGAATTGCCTCTCTCCTCCCTTCTTTGCGGCCTTGGAATCGTTTGCAAGACGGGTACGAGCATAATCCAAAGAGTAGACAAAGAATAAAGAAGAGGCACCAGCAGCACCACCAGATGCCAAGTTACCTGCAAACCATTTCCAGTAGCCATCCTTGTCCTTTCTGAAATTGAACAACCTCTTGAAGTAATCTTTAAACGCAAAGTTTAAGGCCTGAACAAGGACAAACCAATGTAAGCACACTGCAGTAAGACTCGCAGATACAGGAGACTGAATGCGAGAACAAGATGACGTAGTTAAAGAACTCGGAATATGTGGAAAGACAGACCTGAGTTGGGAAGTAACGGATGACATTTGCCGTGTTTCCTCGCCACAATGATACCATCCCCTCATCTTTCATTGTTCGGCTAAAACAATCTCCAATTCCCTTGTAGGGTTCAGAGAGCCTACCAGCTTTGATCATCTCATCCTGATTTTGAATCAAGAGCTTTACACGCTCAATTGGAGCAGCAGCAGTCTTGGACACAGCAGCAGAAACACCACCCATTAGAAAATCAATAGCAAAGCCCGAAAATCCTTTCTCCTTTGGGGCTTGGACAAACACAGGCAAGGCACCTGAAGCCACCAACGGATCATTAGCTCGACACGCTTGGTTCATGGGATATTGCAATGCTTCATTTGAATAACTTCCATATGAAAAACGCCTTTGATTGACGGAAGGCCTCTGGATGGCCCCATAGTGGCTGGAACTCAGATGAAGCTGACCCGAAAACTTTTCCGTGATAGTTGGGTGCTGGCGCCTATCAGCCATTACTTAGAAATGAATGAAATACCTGCAAACTCATTCAATCTTGTAGTCAGAAAGGAGGACAAGGGAAAATATCCACTATGCTTCAAACAGGTTGACAATATCATGCAAAATATAGATTACAACGTTTCCAGACAGCCAAAAAATAAATAAATAAATAAAAAATTGTACAAAAGATCGAACAAATCATAACAGAAACTCTAAAAGGATTAACAGATCCGCAACAACAATGAACCCTAAGTTAAAATTTTCTGAAAAATATACAAGACCGAAACAATTTTCAACTAATGAACAATGTTAATCATATAAAAATAAAAGGAACCAGCTGACAATTTGCTTATTGTTAACTCTCAGCTATCACGATCAATCTGTTGCATCAAAAGTTATAAAAACAACGTAAACTCAACATTTCCAGCTTGAAATTAACACGATCATATGGGAATTCGTTGCTTAAAACTTTTACAACCATTTCAATCCAAAATAAATAAATAATCATTTTACAGATCTCAAATTCTCAATTGTTGAAATGATCACTGTTCATTTGATATTGACCAGATCGATAACCCGGATTTGTATGATCATTTTAGTCAATTTCCCAACAAAACAATCAGTGATAACACTGACTGAATCTGAATTTTCAAACACGATGATAAGATTGATAATAAGATGAAAGGAATTAGTAGAAAGCAAGTGAAAGGAAAACTATATCATTAAGAAAAAAGGGAAAAAATAATCAAATCCCAAACTTCACATAAAATGATAGGAGTAAACAATGTATCAAACACATTACAAGCATATCTAGGTTAAAACCAAAAAATAATTATTTGAAAGCATTTACATTATAAAGAAAAAAAATTCAAAACCAACGAAAGCAACTGACAAATCGTATACCAACAACAACGTGAATAAAAAAGGGTGCTAAATATTTACACTACTATTTTTTATAGATTGGCACTCCTGATCCAACTTTTTTTTGTGCTTCGGTAATTGAGGAACATAATGAGAAAGCATGAAAACATGAAAGGAGCGCGAACAGACGAAATGGATGTGTAAAATCGTGACTCTAACCCTAAACAAGTTCCCAAGATACATTCAACAAATATATATACCTTTTACAGCAGTTGATATATGCGATGCAGAGAGAGAGGAAGGGGGAAGAGTGATAGATCCAAGTGACCCAAAGGGAAAAAGAGAGATCTGAACACCCTTTTGATGGTTTATAACAAAAATGGAAATACAACAAATTACATCTGTGAAATCCGAAACTTCAGCAAAATACAAGGTCTAAACACCACATAAAATAAGAGTGATGTGATCGATCAAGTCAGAGAGAGAGAGAGGGGGTTACCCCTTGAGCTTGGGAAGCGGAATGTGAAAGGAGGAGAGGTTAAGGAGGAGATTTGGTGGGAAGGTCAATGCCACTCACGAGGGTTAGAAACCGAAATGAATACTCCCCTCCTACGTTGTTCTTATAAAATTTTCTCCAACGGCCCAGTGATTTGGAAGGTAATCGTAGCCGTTGATAAGGGAGATGATACGGGAGAACTTAGTTTTTTTGGGGACATGGGTGAGCGGACTTGGGCAAAGTTCTGCATTTGGCATGAAATTATTATTTTTTCCATCCAAACTGGTATGTGATCAAAGGGGTGTATTCAATTGGGATTTTGAAAGATTTCAATTCTTTTAATGAATCTAGAGGTATTCAATCAGGATTTTAAGTGATTCTCTGAAATTCAAGGTGTATTCAATTAGAATTTTAAGATACTTTATTAAAATCCTTAGAAATCCGGGGGTATTCAATTAGGATTTTAAAGAAATTTATAACATTTCAGGTGTATTCAATTAGAAGTTGATTCTAAAGAATTTGAGAAAGTTGAGGAATTAGAGGTAATTGGAGAGATTTCGTAGTGTATTTTAAGCATCCACAAATCTCACCTCTCCGCATGAGATTTCGAGGGAATTGAATCAAAATTTTAGGGGGGGTGTATTCAATTGAGAATTTGAGAGACTTTAATGGATTTTTATAGAGTTTAATTGATTTGTAGAGATTCCATATAAAATTTTAATTCAATTCCCTCAAAATCTCTTGGGGAGATGTGAGATTTGTGGATGCTTAAAATACACTACGAAATCTCTCCAATTCCCTCTAATTTCTCAACTTTCTCAAATTCTTTAAAATCAATTTCTAATTGAATACACCTAAAATGTTCTAAACTTCTTTAAAATCCTAATTGAATACACCTGGATTTCTTAGGATTTTAATAAACTATCTTAAAATTCTAATTGAATCCATGTTGAATTTCAGATAATCACTTAAAATCCTGATTGAATACCCCTAGATTCATTAAAAGAATTAAAATCCCTCAAAATCCCAATTGAATACATCCCCTTATATGGAATCTCTACAAATCAATTAAACTCCATAAAAATTCATGGATTTATAAATCTATTAAAGTCTCTCAAATTTTTAATTGAATACGTCCCCCTAAAATGATTCTTCATATTTGGTTTCGTTGGTTCAAGGTTTGGATAAAATTTCAATGTGTCAGAAACACACACTTCAGCAAGACGTGGTGTTCTGGACCAATTAAAATAAGCCATGGCTTTCTATTTTATGATTAAATAATAAGCTAAGAACTTTAACTTCATTCCAACAATGGCGTTAAACTTTCTCTCTCTCCCTCATCTTTGTAAATTTGTGCAAAATTATTCCGTTTACTGAAATTCAATTATGCTACTATCAATTATAAGAAACAAATTTGATTCAGGGAATTGTTATTGGCACTCCAAAAATTTCATTGTACACTCCAAACTTTCTATATTTTAAAAGAAAAATACACTTGTGAGGAGTGTAGAATGAGTTTTTTGGAATGCCAATAACACTTCCCTTTGATTCATGGTTCTTTGTTTGAACAAATTAATTCCTAAATCCAATCGGCCAACAAGGCCTTTCATTCCCAAGATGTTAATAGTTATCTTAAATACCAACAAAGTATAAGCTAAAAATAAGAAACCTAGAATCAGTTCAATCGGAAACTAAAAATTTTACGTGGGAGGAGGAGGCAGCCACCGCACATCTCAGGCAACATGGATGATTCCGTCGAAATCTAAGCAGGGCAAAGTTTACTCTTTCAAACGACAAGGGACGAATTGAAAACTTACAAACAGAAAGATTACAATCTTGAGCTTTCTCGTGATCTTTTGAAGAAGAAGAAGAAATAAAAAGAAGAAATAAAAAATTACAACCAATGAGAAGGAATTCAGAAAGGCAATGGTAAAGTTAAAAGGAAAGGTTTTTTTTGGTGTTAAGACCATCTTCAAAAGAAATGTTAAATTATAACAATGGTAAAGTTAAAAGGAAAGGTTTTTTTTTTGGTGTTAAGACCATCTTCAAAAGAAATGTCAAATTATAACAGTTAAATTATATTGGTGGCTGATGTGGCAACCTGAAGTCTCATGTCAAATTTTTTACTTCTCCAACTGAATTGTCAAATATTATTTTGTTATTTTATTAAAATAGAGCTTTAAATGGTTGTAATTATTAAAAAAAAAAAATTGAAATAAAATTTTTATTGGTTGAAATGTTAATGGTATAAAGGATCCACCATTAAAATTAATTAAAAATAAATTTGACATTGATATCAAATTTGACTCCTAATCACAAAGCCTTCAAATTCAATCAGCAAATAACACTTCGGTTGGAAAGCTTTTTTATGTTAAATATGCACAATGGCATTTCACCTAGGATTTTGACATCTTATTTAGAGATGCTCTAACTATTTATAATTTCTAATTAAAAAAGTAGAAAGCCACAAGGCTTATTTTTATTGTTCTGGAACACCACCTGTCAAGCTTAGGTGTTTCTCCAAGATTTGATTCAACAACTACAATGTTTTTACGAAATAGGAAATATCTTGGTTGTATTTTCATGTTTTTTTTTTTTTTTTTTGATAAAATTGTATTTTCATGCTTTGAAATGAGCATTTTATATTTTTTTGATGGTCGAAACATTCTTCACTAGACAAATTTTAAGAAAATGTAAAATGCAAATAAGAATTTAAATTTACATCTTTTAGGAGATGAATCCTGCCAGTTAAAAAAAATGAGTTCGCAAATTTACATCTTTTTCATTAGTGTAAATTCATATTTACGTCTTCTGATGGATTATTGATTCAAGAATGAGTACGAAATTTCCTTCTTATTTGGCAAATACAATCATGACTCATGAGAATGCCAATTATGTTGCATAGGTTTCAAACATCCACGAAATGGTGAATCCAAAAAGCTTGGGGGCTTCATGGTGTGTTGGGATATCATTTATTGTATGTCAAGGAAGTATAATCCTCATGTGTGTTTTTTTTTTTTTTAATAGAAACTATTATATTAAGCAGTAGCTATAGTAACGAAAGGGTCCCAACGAAAGCTTGAGAACCCCAACAGCAAGATAAGACCACCCCCCCCCCCCCCCCAACCAAAAAAAAAAAAAGGGAAAAAGGACCTCAAGCTGGTTACAGAAGACCAAGAGTGAAGCTCAAGTCACCACCCAAAGGACCAAAACCCCCATAAAGCGTTAGTGGAGGCATGGTAGGGTGTCAATGGAAATGATATAAACCAGAGCAAATGGTGTCTAGGAACCCAGACTTCTAGACACATCCCTCTTTCGCAATGCTAGACAACCCAATCAGCTGCCGAGTTTGCTTGGCGGGGAATCCAGCACCACTTAAAAGTAAAGCAGTGACAAATGTTCCAGATTTGACAGAGAAAAGGAAAAATAGACCAACTAGCCTTCCGTTTGTCACCATTAATACTATTCACCAAAGAGGCTGAATCAGATTCAAAGATGACATTTGTCATGTTATTTTGGATGGAAATTTGCACAGCCAGAACCATTATTCCCAGCCACTAAAGAGCCAGAGGCATCACTGATCACAATCCAAAACCCGCAAAGCCGGACTCTTTCGACCTGGAGGTATCACAGTTAATTTTTAACATGGGATCAGAATAAGGAATCCTGGCAGGGCGAAGTTAAACATGGAAGATCCGAGGGCACCAAAATAGGGTTAGTAGACTATAAATCCTCCATCGCCGAAAGTGCCTTATGAACAGTAAAAACGGGAGACAGGAAAGAGCCATTAAAGCTAGCATGACATCTTATCTTCCAAATTTCCCAACATATGAAAGCAACCAAGGAGTATAAGTGGTCACGATTCGTAGTAACACTATTAAAGCAAGTAGACAAGGCCAGGAATCAAAGGTCGAATGAAGAGATAGCTTGAACA